CGGTTGCCGAGCGGGGCCGAGAACGGGTGGTGGAAACGGGATCCTGGTCGACGACTGGTGGTGGATGCCGACGAGGCAAAAGGCGGCGAGGAAAGCGGCGAGTGCGAAGATGTAGCGCCGTCGTCCCTGGATCAATACGAGGAGTCAGTGTGGTGCATAACCCAGCACGAAAGTCCGCAATCGTCTCGCCCATGTGACGGCTCGAGAGACAAGGGGACGAGGAGACGCACCTCGAGGTGAGCTGTTGCGCGTCGCCGCCATGCGTCGGGGAGGTGCATCACGCCCGAGCGTTGCTGCGCCTGCTCGAGGGGCATGGTGCCCTCGCCAAGAGGAGCGAGGCGCCGGAAGCACAGGAGGCGGGTTGAGCGAAACGTCGAGCGTTTGAAGCGGCGACAGGGCTTGGGGCGAGGCCTCTTGCGGGCGTGGTGCCTTGTCGAGCGACTCGGGCGAGAATAAGCCTGCTGATCGGCGGCACTGATGCGTGCGAGGTGAGCGAGAGAGCAAGACGACGACGACGAGTGGGCTGTTACTGGTCGTGCTCGCTCACCGTCGCCCTCTCGCCTCGAGATGGGCGCACAGCGACCCGAACCTGTCGTCGTGCACCCTCGTCGCCGCCTCAGCTCGTCGTCGCCTGAATCGGCCCTGCGCTCGTCGCGCACCGCCGCGTCGACATCCTCATCAGCCCGCAACTCGAACTTCGACCACAACTCGACGCACAAGACCAACGTGCACGGTCACCGCCCTGTCGAGGCCAGGAAAGCCGCCTCACCGGCACCGCAAGCCGCGCCAGAGGTGCGCTCACCCTTCCACTCGTCTCTCCCCCGCACCTCTCGACACCTCCAGCTCCAGCAGCGGCTCACCTCGTTCCTTGTTCCGCCTTGCCGCGTGCAGCTGCATCCGCAAAGGCCCGCATCGCCTGCCTCGAGCGAGGCCAGCTTCGACGACGAGATCCTCCTTGTCGCCCATCGTCCTCGCCCTCCCCCGTCCCTCTCGGCGGCAGAGCCTCCCGCGACGTCAAGCCCCGCCGTTCGCGAGCCATTCGAAGCACCTGGGCCCGCCATCGCCAGCTCGTCGGCAACCGCGTTCGCCCCGCACCCTCGCTGGAGCGTCGACCGCCTCGATCCACCTGCCGCGCCTCGCTCGCTCAGCGACAAGGCCAAGGGCAAGCTCCCGCTCGAGCGCGAGCACGCCGTCGAGTCGCACAAGCGGTCGGCGAGCCCTCGCACGTCGCCCCGGACCAAGAAGCGCCGTCTCGACGCGACGTTCGACGGCGTCGAGATCCCGGTCGCGTCGGCGAGTTCGTCACCCGTTCCTGCCGAGCCCGGCCCGCACCCGGTGCATCGACGATGGGCCTCGGGCAGCTCTGTAGCCTCCGCGCGAGTTGCGAGTACGGCCCCCGAGGACGACGAGGCCGCCGCCGCCGTCGAGCGTCGACGCTCGTCTCGGCTCCCGGTCGTCGTCGCCCAGCCCCCTCGGCCTCATCCCGCCACTTCCGCCGACGTGGCAGCTTCGAGGACGGTTGTCTCGCCGAGGGAGACGTCCAACTGCGGGCGGGCCTCGTCGCTCCCGTCGGCGCCCACGTCCACCCGGCTCGGCGTGACCTTGCGCGACGTCGTCCCTGCGCGCTCAAGACCCAGTTCGGCGGTCGCTTACACCGGCATCGCAGCACCCGTCGGCGACATCCTCGAGCGCAACTTCCCGTCGAGGCCGCCCCAACACCCGCTCAACGCGCTGCGCCTTCGCACTCCGCCTCTCGATCCGCCGCCTCGGTTCGTCTGCAACCCGGCGTACGAGCCCGCCGCCGCCCTCGGCTGGATCTCGGGCGCCGTCTCGAAGAAGCGTGCACCGCCGCGCCCAGTTCCTCGCCTGCGCACCAACGTCCCTCCCGCCGCCGCCGCCGCCGCCGCCGCCGCACCAGCACCCGTCGCCAGCTTCGCCGGCGAGGTCGGCCAGCGCCGTTCTGCGCGCGCAAAGGTCCCGGCGCAGCCCGCCTGCTCGATCTACCCGTCGGCGACCGACCGCGTCGCCGCCCTCGCCTCGTCCACCTCGGCCTCGGCCTCGTCGTCGCGCGCGTCGTCCGCCTCGAGCGAGGACCCGCGCACGCGCACCGCACCCGTCTCGACGCGTGCAGCACCCGCCGCACTCGCCCAGCCTGTGCGCCGCAAACCCCTGCTCGCCCAGCTGCGCACGCGGTACGCCTTCCTCGCCGAGGACAACTGCGCGCCGTTCCGCGCCGACAACTCGTGCGACGGCATCAACCCGGAGCCGTGCTCGTTCGAGTGGGACTCCTACGAGCTGCGGGCGGCGGTGCGCGCCGAGGGCTGGCCTCCGTGGCGCGACGAGGACCTCGAGATGGTGCGCGACGCCGGCGAGGCGGCCGACCTGATCCTGAGCGCGCACGCCGGCGACGAGGGCGCGCGAGATGTGGTCCGCTCGGCGTGCCGCCTCGTGCCGTGGCGGTACCGCGACCTCGACGACGCGCTCGGGAGCGCCTCGAACGCGCCGACCAGGTGGGCGACGTGCGACTGGCGCATGGTGCAGCAGCAGCAGCTAGAGCTGGGCGAGACCGTCGACGTCACGAGGGTGCGCGGCGGCCCGCAAACCTTTCTCGACGCCGTCGGCGGCGACCTCGACCTCGACCTCGTCGAAGCGGGCGACGCGCTCAGCCCGTTCTCGAGCCCCTCGCGGGCCACCACGTCGCCCCGCAAACGCGGCAGCGCCATCACCGACGTCCCGCCGACCACCCCTCGCCCGCTCGTCGCCGTCGACGGCGAACCCGACATGCTCCACGACCCGTTCCGCGAGCGGGGCTCGAGCGCCGCCGCCTCGCGCCCGCTCGTCTTCCGCGAGTCGCACACGTCGAGCGCCGCTGTCGCCGATCCTCGTCCGGCGCGCAGCGCACGCAGGGCGCTCACCGACGAGCCTTGCGATGCGCCCGCCCCGGCCGCCTCGAGGCCCTCGAGCGGCCGGCCCGCAGGGCCAGCTCGCCGGTCGGCGCGCGTCACGGACGCCGAGGGGCCCCGCTCGCGCGCTCAACGACGTTCGTCGACGAGGGGGCACCTCTTGAAGGCGGCGTTGCCGCCGTCGAGCAAGCTCGTCCCCAAGTCGGTTCGTCTGCGCGAGGCGCGCACCGCCAAGGTCGAGGAATCGCCGCCGTCCGGCTCGGTCCTCGCCTCGTCGCCAGAGCTCCTGTCGAAGGGGTCGACCGCAGGGCCGAGCCGGCTCTCCTCGTCCGCCAGACTGCTCGCCGCCGCGAGAAGGAGCCGTCGTCGACCTCGGACTCGGACTCGGACGATGCGCCCTCAGTCGCAGAGCGCAAGAGCGCTCAGCCCTCGCCACAGCCCTCGCGGAGTGGCCGTGCCGCGAGACCGAGTCGAACCTCGTCCGCCAAGCTGCCCGCCGCCGTCAAGAAGAGCCTGTCGTCCGACTCGGACTCGGACCCGGACGAGCAGCCGCCGCAGACCGCGCCGGCCACCCGCCCGTCGACGATGCGCCAGTCGCTCTGTCGTGTCACCAGGTTGAGTCGACGGTCGCCTGTCGCCGCAGCAAGGAGCGCGTCGTCTACCTCGGGCTCCGAGTCGGAGGAGACGCCGCCGGCCTGGTCCAAGGGCAGTCGGCCGACCTCAGAGTCCCGTCGCCGCCCCTCATATACGAGAACGGTGGCCTGTCGTCGGCCCAGCTCCTTGCCGCCGCCGCGAGGAGCCTGTCGTCGATCTCGGACTCGGACTCGGACGCGGCGTCATCAGCAGCCGTCCAGGTCGCTCTGCCGTCGCCGCCGAAACCTCTCAAGCCCGGCTTTACGGTGCGTCCCCTCGCCCTCTCTCCCGCTCTCTCTCTCTCTCTCTCTCTCTCTCTCTCTCTCTCTCTCTCTCTCGCCGATCGCGTTCCTGACTCGCTTTCGGCCGTACGCAGCGGTGCGACTGGGACGGTTGCCCAAACCCGGTCTACAAGTCGACGACGGCGACGTCGGACGAGCTGCACGTCGTCAACTACCACGACACGACTTGCATCGTCACGTACCAGCGCCCGTACCGCACGACCCGCCTCGAGCGCGACGAGCACGGCCTGTTCGCGTGCCCCTGGTGCTGGCACAAGATCAAGAACGCGACGGTGGCCCAGTCGCACGCGTACGGGCGCAAGAGCTGTCCCGGTCCGCCGGTCGCCGACCAGGACAAGTCGCCGACTGGAACGCTGTCGTCGGCCGATTGAGGTGCGCCTCGACTCGCTCCCCTCCCCTCTCCTCCCCTCCCTCCTCGTCGACTGACTCGGCCCTCGTTTGCCCTTCTGTACCAGATCCTCTCGTCGACTACGTCAAGGCGTGCGCCTGCGCCCAACTCGTGCCGGCGTCGTCGACCTCGCGCTCCTTCCCACCTCCCCCCGCCCTCGTCTCGACCTCTCGGCCTCACCTCGCCGTTCGCCTCTCTGTCGTTTTTCCTCGCCCTCTCTGCACTACTTGGCCTCCCTTGGCAGTGGTCCCTGTCGCTGCAATGCACGATCTTGCCTTTGTCGCCTCGTCCTCGTCGAGAAAGCTCTCACGCGCATCTCGCGGCCCTCGTTCTGCTCGCCACGCTGCTCTCTGCACGTGGAGCCGTTTGTGCTGGGCCAGGGTGAGTAGAGAGGCTCGGTTGTCGTCCAAGCTCGCAGGCGCACGCTCCCTCGCGGCCCGGTCGGAAAGGCCGACTCGGTGCTGTGCTCGCCTCTGTGCTGCCCCTTGTCTTCGCTCGCCTCACCCGCCGAGAGCACTCGACTCACGCACACCTCGTCCTCGAGCTCGTGCACATCGCCCACGACCATGCCCGTCGTGTCGCTGTCTCCCTGGCACTCGGCCGAGGGCTTGACCATCGACAGCGTCCTCCGCCTCGCCAACTCGACTCTGCTCAACCCAGTCGTGTCGTGGCTCCTCCCCGTCCTCGCCATCCTCCGGTCCTCGCACGCCCACTCGCTCTCGACCGCCCTCGACGCCGTCCGACTGGCCGACTTCCCCCACCTCGTCCGCACCGATCGCGGCGTCCAGCTCGCCCTCGCCCTCTTCGCAGCCGGCATTGCGCTCAGGGTCAACGACGCCCTCGGCAGAGCCGCTCGCAACAACTTCTCGCGCGACCAGAAGGGGTGGAACTGGGACGATGAGGTCGTGGCCATCACGGGCGGTGCGTCGCCGCGTTCCTCCTTCGTTCCCTCGTGTGCGACTCGAACTGACTTCTGTCGCCATCCTTCCTGGCCACAGGTGCCGGAGGACTCGGCAGCGAGGTCGCCCGCCGCCTGTCGGCCAAGGGCGTCAAGGTGGTCGTCCTGGACGTTGCTCCCCTCGCCGACAATGCTCGTGCGTCCTCTCTGCTAGCCTTGACCCTGCGAGATCGTACTGACACGTTTTCCTCGACAGCGGCGGGTATCTCGTACTACAAGGTCGATCTCGCGAGCGCGCAGGACGTCCAGGAGGTGGCCCTCAAGGTGCAAAAGGAGGTCGGGCACCCGTGCGTCTCTCGTTCTCTGAGCAGTCCTTGTCGTCTCAGGCACTGACGCTCGTCGTCGGCACAGGACGGTGCTCGTCAACATGGCCGGCGTTGTGCGGGCGACATCCATCCTCGACATGACGCAGCGCGACGTCGACCTGTGCGTCCGCTCGCCGCCTCCTTCTCCTCGTGACGAGCGCCTCTGACATGTCCCGCCGTGAGCAGGACCTACGACATCAACGTCAAGGCGCACTACTACACGACGCAGGCGTTCGTCCCGCACATGGTCGAGGAGGGTCACGGCCACGTCGTCGTGCGTCGCTCGTTCCTCTCCCTCTCTCCTTGGCGCGCGCCGACTAACCTTTTCGTACCCTGTCTCCCGCAGACGATCGCCTCGTCAACTGCCTACCACTCGGCCGCAACTGGCGTCGCCTGTGCGTCGTACTTTTCCCATGACTCGAAACGCCTCGAAACGCAGTGACTCACTCCCGACCTCCTCCCTGTTGCACAGACTGCTCGTCCAAGGCCGCCGCGCTCTCGTTCCACGAGGGCCTGACCGAAGAGCTGCGGCACCTGTACCAGCCGTCGAGTCGGGCGCGCGCCGTGCGGACGAGCGTCGTCGCGCCGGCCCACTTCAAGACGGGCATGTTTGCTGGGTTCGAGAGCGCCATCCCCGAGTGGCTCGCGCCGAGCCTGGAGGTCGCAACGGTGGCGGGCCTGGTCGAGCGCACGGTGCTCAGCGGCGAGTCTCAGGTGCGTCGGCGCTTTGTCCCTCATCCTCTTGAGCCGAGCGGCGAGCCGCTGTACGGCGGTACCGCTCGATCAGTGAGACTGGAGCCTGACCCGCTCTCTGTACCTCCTATGCCCCTGCAGCACCTCATCGAGCCGTTCTACGCCAAGTGCACGCCTCTCGGCCGCGCCCTCCCGACCTGGCTCTACGGCGCCATCCTCTTGTGCGTCGCCTCTGTCCTCTGCGTCCGCTCTTTCTCTCGACCAAGAGGGACGCTTAACCAGACTCGCGCGCCTGCCGCAGCTGCGCAAAGGACGCCATGGGCGCCGTCAAGATGTTCAAGGCTCGCGAGGCCAAACGCGACTGACGGTGGACGGGTCGAAGCAGAGCTACAGTCGCCCCATAGACAGTCGCCGATGCATTGCAGAGTCTATCGGCGAGCAGTCACTGCGGTGCGCAGATAGCGAGAGCGGAGAGCGTTCGAGCGTCTTGCGGCTCGGCACCTTCTGCCTCGCGTCGTCGGACCGAGACTGAGCGGCATCTTGAGCGCACCCATGTGACTCTCTCACGAAGCCCAAGACGATAGGCTCGGCTCGCAGAGGCGACTCGGCCCTGTCGACGTTGCCGTCGACGCCCGCACGGGCCTCTCGCGAGCCAGGGAGCTCTCGAGCGAGGACGCGGCACGACGCAGGTCTCTATCTAGCTAGCTCTCGCTCTGTTACTCTTCTCGAACGCGGCCATGCTGCATGAGGTAGGTCTGTGCAGCGAGCGATCGTACTACTTGACCTCCCACACCTCGTCGCCGACGAGGTCTCGCAGCGAGACGCGCTCTCCTCCCCACTCGCCGCTCCTCAATGCCGCCTCGACCGCCGCCAAGTCGCGCAAGGCCGCCCTCGGCCCGCTGCGGTAAATGGGACGACTAAGCCGATCTCCCAGT